AAGGCCGTTTTATTTGAACTGATGGTGATGGTTTAGTTTTGGGGGATGCAAAACGTATTGTATTGTCTATTTTCGAAAGGGCTACACCAACAATGGAGAGCATTATGGCAACTTACTGGTACAGTTACGAAAAGCTACCAAGACCAAACGCCCAGGAAAACTAACGAAACGCGTCTTGTTTCATCAGGACCATGCTCCAGCGCACAAGTCCTTGTTTTTCTATTCTTCTGATGTGACTATCATCTGTTCCCCAACATGAAGAAAAACTTTGTTGGGGACCAGTATTACAGTGAGGTTAACGTCATATCTGCAGGTGATGACATTTTTGAAGAACAGCTTACCTGAAAAGAAACAATGCAGTTATACATGAGACGACATTAATGCCATTTCACACTTCCGGCATAACTTAGTAAGCCTATGAAGTTTTCAGCCCACCCTCTTATCTTGAAAGAAACCATGCAGTTACTATGAAGAAGGGTTGAAATTAATGCAAGATTTCACGGCTCTAGTATCACTCCTTCATAGTCAGCCTATGAACCTTTCAGCCCACCATTGTACAAGGAAAGAAACAATGCAGTTATTAATAAGACGAGCTGAAATGAACACTTGCAAGATTTCACAGTTCTAACATTATCCTTCATAGTCAGCCTATGAATATTTCAGCCCACCATGACTCTGAATAATGACAAAATTAAAAGGCAAAAATACGTCCTTACCAAATAGCTTATTTATTTATACAATGAAATGGAAATAATATATAAATATCTCACAGATGATTGGACCTTCTTCCATATTTGACTTAAACTTTCGACCGTTCTTAAAATGTCCATTCATAGGAAGATGAGTGTGAAATGGCGATTAAGAATCGAACATTTTCGGTGGCATTTTTCTATCGCCGAAGTTAAGCAACGTCGAACCTGATCAGGGCCTAGATGGGTTACCGCTTGGGAATACCAGATTCTGTAAGGTTGGATGTGCGGATAGTGTAATGGATAATGACTCGAAATTGTTAATCGAAGAGCCGAGTTCGAGTTCCATTCGGGTTCGTTATATTCGCTTACGCGTAAATACTTGGGAAAAGTATGAATCCACCTCTTCCCCTCTATCTATGGGTTAATTAGTAGAACTTGTATTACTAAAACCCAAAAATAAAATAAAATAAAAATTGTGTACAAAATATTTAGATTTCGCCATTAAATAACCCATAGATGTGTTTATATGCCGCTAAACAAAAAAAAAAAAAAAACAACCAACTCTACCGTTTAAATACGAATCATATTTCCTCTCGTTCATGTTGATTTTGTTGAAAGGAAATTATTTTTCTGTCAACTCCGGTTCAAAGGTCGTGTTCTATGACATTAAAACGTCCATAGAAGTTCCCCTATCGCGCTGTTAAATGTCTGAACTTAACAACTTTAACAAAATATTGCCATAACAAACAAAAATATTAATGTTTGTCGGTATGTTAAGGAGTAAGCGGGTACAAATAAAATGAGCTTAAATTGACACCTTTTTCCATTTCATTAAAAGACATATTAAAACCATCTTTCTTTTATTTTTCTTTCATTTTCTCCCTGAATCCTAGTAGCATCATTGTTGTATATCGTACCTATGAACACTAATGTCTATGTCCCAATCGTCATAAATTCGTTGGACACTATTGTAAGTGGGGGTAATAAGAAGTCTATGTAGTCCACCACTAGTAGTGGTTTACCTAATTCACGGCGCTGGCGAGTATTGTATTTTGTTGATGTTATAAAGATTACCATTTTATTTCCAATCTCTTTTTTTGGTTATTTCTTATTCAGTAACCCTTCCTAGATTACAACAGATAGATAGATAGATAGATAGATAGATAGATAGATAGATAGATATGAACAGAGACAGACATGACTAGATAGATAGATAGATAGATAGATAGATAGATAGATAGATAGACCAGATTTAGATATATAAAGAGAGAGCTAGAGAGAAAGAGACGGAGAGAGAGAGAGAGAGAGAGAGAGAGGTAGATTGACACAGAGAGGGAGAGAAATGAAGAAATATGAGCAAAATCGTTAAGGGGTATCTCAATATGTCGTCAGTCACATACAATTCGGACAAAATAAATTAAACCAAAAAGTGATAGTGTTATATACTATTGAACACCCAATCCTAATAAATACGTTGGACACGATTGTAAGTGGAGGTAATATGCTCTTTAAGTAGTCCACCACTTGCAGTGGTTTACCTACTTCCCGCCGCTGGCGAGTATTGTATTTTGTTGATTTTATAAAGAATACCATTTCATTTCCAACCTCTGTTTTTGGTTATTCCTCATTCAGTAACCCTTCCTAGGTTACAACAATCATTGATATATCTTTTCCGTCATTCTACATGATCAAAACGAAATAGCCCATTGTTTATTATCTATTGCTAGGAGATGTTAAACACTTCTATCCCGTCCTGAGTATAACGATAAACTACATCCGGCAGCAAGGCCTCTTAATCGGGAGATTCTGATGAGCGTGGAACCACCTCTTATTTTCTATTATTCGCAGGTTCATCCTGACCCAAGGGGTATCATCTGCGGGTTTCAGCTATGGGCAATAGTTAACCCCCAAATTTGGGGTCAAAACACTATGAAAGTATAAACACTTTTATATTAAAAAATACCAGCAATCCATTTTCATAGTAAAAAAAATTACCTGTATTGGACTTTAAAAAAAAAAAGAAAGAAAGAAAGAAAAATAAAAAAAAATAAAGAAAAAATAAAAAAATACCAGCAATACATTTTCATATTAAAAAAATTACCAGCATTGTACTTTTAAAAAAAAATACATAAATAAAGAAAGAAAAATTTTAAAAAAATAGCGAAAAAAGAAAAAAAATACTAGCAATACATTTTCATAGTAAAAAAAAATTACCAGCATTGTACTTTAAAAAAAAAAAAGAAAGAAATAAAGAAAAATAAAAATAAAAATAAAGAAAAAAGAAAAAATACCAGCAATACATTTTCATAGTAAAAAAAATTACCAGCATTGTACTTAAAAAAAAAAAGAAAGAAAGAAAAATAAAAAAAATAAAGAAAAAAGAAAAAAAATACTAGCAATACATTTTTTTAAAAAAGAAATTATTCCCTAGAAAATTAAATGACCCCTTAGGGGTCGATTTTCCTCTAAACAAACAAATAAACACTTTTATCTTATCTCCTTTCTTTCCATCTTTCTTTTATTTTCTAATTGAAACCAAGTATCGTCTCTCATAGGTCTATTCCGTTTTTCCAAGCGATAAAAAAACGGAATAGTCACTTATTTATTATGTATCATGAATTATTAGGAGTCATGAAACATTTCTATTTTTCCTTCTCTTATATCGTAGAAAGTGTTGCTGAATGAGGAATAAACAAAACGGAGATGGGAAATGAAATGGTAATCTTTATAAAAACAACAAAATACAATACTCGCCGGCGGTGTGAAGTAGGTAAACCACAGCTAGTGTTGGACTACTTAGCATATTATCCCACTTACAATAGTGTCTAACGTATTTATGAGGATTGGGACATACCCATTAGTGTTCATAGGTATGGTATATAACACTATCTATCTCAGTTCAGGTTCTATCTATCTATCTATCTATCTATCTATCTATCTATCTATCTATCTATCTCAGTTCAGGATCTATCTATCTATCTATCTATCTATCTATATATCTATCTATCTATCTATCTATCTATATCTGTTGAGATCTATCTATATCTGTTGAGATCTATCTATCTATCTATCTCAGTTCAGGATCTATCTATCTATCTATCTATCTATCTATCTATCTATCTATCTATATCTGTTGAGATCTATCTATATCTGTTGAGATTCATCTATCTATCTATCTATCTATCTATCTATCTATCTATCTATCTATCTATCTCAGTTCAGGTTCTATCTATCTATCTATCTATCTATCTATCTATTTATCTATCTATCTCCGTTGAGATCTGTCTATATCTGTTGAGATCTATCTATCTATCTATCTATCTATCTCAGTTCAGGTTCTATCTATCTATCTATCTATCTATCTATCTATCTATCTATCTGTTGGGAGCTAGAAAAGGTTACTGAATGAGTAATAACTAAAAAGGAGGTTGGAAATGAAATTGTAATCTTTATAAAATCAGCAAAATACAATACTAGCCAGCGGAGTGAAATAGGCAAACGACAACAAGTATTATCTCACTTACAATAGTGTCTAACGTATTTATGAGGATTGGCACATGCCCATTAGTGTTCATAATTACGGTATAAAACACTATCACTTTTTGGTTTAATTTATTTTGTCCGAATTGCATGTGACTGACGACATATTGATATACCCCTTAATGCTTTTGCTTCTTTTTTATATCTCTCTCTCTCTCTCTCTCTCTCTATATATATATATATATATATATATATATATATATATCTAAATATCTATCTATCTATCTGTTGTAACGTAGAAAGCGTTACTGAATGAGAAATAAACAAAACGGAGGTTGGAAAGGAAATGGTAATCTTTATAACATCAACAAAATACAATACTCGCCAGCGCCGTGAAGTAGGTAAACCACTGCTGGTGGTGCACTACATAAATACCATATTACCCCCACTTGCAATAGTGTCCAACGTATTTATTAGGAGTGGGTGTTCATTAGAGTACAGTATATAGCACTATCCCTTTTTGGTTTAATTTATTTTGTCCGAATTGTATGTGACTGAGGACATATTGATATACCCCTTAATAATTTTGGTCCTGTTTTTTAATCTCTCTCCTTCTCTATGTCAGTCTACCTCTCTATTTCTCGCTCTCTCTAACTCTCTCTCTCTCTCTCTAACTCTCTCTCTCTAACTCTCTCTCTCTCTCTCTCTTTATATATATCTAAATCTGATCTATCTGTTGTAAACTAGAAAGGATTTCTGAATGAAAAATAACGAAAACGTAGGTTGAAAATGAAATGGTAATCTTTACAACATCAACAAAATACAATACTCGCCAGTGGCGTGATGTAGATAAACCACTGCTAGTGGTGGACTACTTAGACATCATATTACCCCCATTTAAAATAGTGTCAAATGTATTTATGTAGATTGTGACATACCCATTAGTATTCATTGGTACGATATATAACACTTTCTTTCTCTCATTTTTTCCTTTCTTTCTTTTTCTCATTGGGATCTTGTAGTGTCTCTGATAGGTCTATTCCGTCTTTCCATGCTATCAAAACAGAATAATCCGTTATTTATCTGGTATTGGCAGGGCGTAAAAATCGTGCTGATCAAGGAAGGGAGAAGCAGAATTTTTCTTATAAATAAATACCTTTATGATAAATATGACTGAAATGGGATACCTACTTTTACTAACATTCAGAGCATTTACACAATAATATTTTGTTTTCAATTCGGTCATGAATGCCGTAGCACCTGCTTAAAATTGAATAAAATAAACCTATTGTTACAACTGGAATTTGAAACGCAATGACGTCATTGTCATGTACACGATTTATTCGCTTTTACTAAGAAGGTTTTCAGTAAAACGGTTTATTTAAGTGTTTGGATTTTAAATGCATATATTGTGTAACTTAAATCCTTTATTATAATTGAATTTTCTTTTTCTTTTTTTTCTTTTAAATATCTATCAGCCTATACGTTTGCAGTTATATCTGAAATACATATATATATATATATATATATATATATATATATATATATATATATATATATATCGATCCACATATTTTCACTCTGTTCTTATCTATTACGGTCGACCACATTTTACCATCTATCTATCTATCTATTGATCTATCTATCTATCGATATATCTATCTATCTATCTATTGATCTATTTATCTATCTATCTATTGATCTATCGATCTCAATCTGTTAATGATCTATCTCAATCTATTCATCGTATATATATATATATATATATATATATCAAGTATGTGGTGCAGTTCAATTTACATTACATGAATCATTCATTAAAAAAAAATCAGATATAGAAGTTAATGATATAAATGGCGTGAATACACCTTCGCAAACAAATTTAATAAATTAATAAATAATTTTTCGGATTACATCTATTCTTTCGTTTTCCTGTTATTACCGGGAAGTAAAAACCAAAAACAAATCTATTTCCATACCTGATGATGTCTGTATGCACAGATGAAAACTTGTAAAAAAATAAAAAAATACCTTATGCAACTGGAATTTATAAACAGGGATCATAACATTCATCTATAGGTTCGGGTTTAATGTACTTTATTAAATTTGTTTATATCATTAACTTTTATATCTGTTTTTATGTATGAATGATTCATATATATATATATATATATATATATATATATATATATACAAGTATAGGATTGGTGTATACGGAATAAATTGCAATAATGTTATACTAGAACATACCTATTCTATTGTAAATAGACTCTCCCAGATATGATAAGTAGTAGTAGTAGCAGTCGCCAGGTGGGGGGGGGGCTCAGAGAGAGTTAGTGTGTCAGTCGATGTCGGACATTAAAATATCAACCACCACAACTAGATTGCTGCGTCATTAACTATTATTTCATGTTCTAACGTTTTGTACGTCGAACCTAATTTAGGACCGACTTAGTGAAATACAAGCCTCCACTGTGAAAACTACTCTACAACAAATAAACAAAAAAGAGTTGTCAATGCAGTGTAGGGAAAATATAATTTATTCGAAAATCATAACAAAAATATTTTACAAAAACCCGGGATATCTGACTCGTATTTTGTTTCTTTTTTATTTTCATTCTAGTATTATATTAATATAGTTACATTTTTTAATTATTGACTTATGTTAAAAGTCATTGCTATACAACTAACGAAGTTGGCATAATGAACATCAAAGCAGTCAACTGAAATACCTACGACAAAAACATCATGATGATGTGACTTTGTGAGAACCACACCTTGAAATAACAAACGGCCATTTTTACCATATATTTTGTACTCTGTCATTTTTATAACACAAGATACTTAAATTTCGAATCTCATGTGTATAAGATAGTGCTACTCAAAGCATGGTACACGTACTGGCACTAGTATGTGGAGAGTTTCCAAGAAACAAAGAACCAGTAGTCACATTCCACACCACGGGAGACCGCCAGGACATCAGACTGTTTTCTTTTTTATTTTCATTTTACTATTATATTTATTATGGTTACATTTTTCAATTACTCACTCATTTTAAAAGTCATTGCTATACAGCTAACGAATGCAATATAATGAACAGCCAAACAGTCCAT